CTTTAATATGAACATTAAATTGAATATATAATTAATGAACCTTCTATAGGGACATGAGAGCCTTGTATAAGTACATCRGAGCCATSCATATRGACATCCGKATATGGAAGTCGTACGACAACCTCTACTCGAGAACAAATGAYTGCTGAGAAAGGGAAGAACGAAAACTTACTTGATGTCTGTCAAAACTTCRCGATAGTAATGCCCAAGGTACAAAAATGTAGGAGGGTAGTTCGGGTCAAGTTTTGCTGCCTGCAATAAAATATAGATATGAYACTAAAATAGTCGATAACAATGTTACCTGTGTTGYAACAGGCATCGAAGGCGTCATWTTTTGGATGTTCGACCTAACCTGCGGGTATTTTGTGAGAAAAAACGGAGAGGAGTGAAAGTGAAGAGCCTGACATGAAAGTCGAACCTATCGCAGCACGTGTTTTATATTAGCCAATTAAAATCGCTTCCAGTTGTCATTTTGTCATGTCACGCTAGGTGAAAACGTTAGTAGCTAAGGCACTGCACGTTAAGTTTTATATTATTTTGAATTCAAATCGCTTCTTTATTTACAGGAAATATCTGAAAGTTGATATGTACTTACAGCAATATACTTCGACCTTATTATAAATACAACCCTTTTCAAAACTTTCAAACATTCTACAACACATTGACAAATAACACGGATAGCTAAAGCAGATTTAAACAAGCTCAGCACCTYGACAACTAACGAATATAATACCGAGGTCTGCGGTGTTGTTTCATTTACTTCTGTATTGCTTAGAAAGTTGCTGATTTTGAAAATGATGCTWATGGCAAACAAAAGTTTGCAATGCTGCATCCTTTAACCTTCGACTCCAATTCAAAATTGAATAACTTGCTTTCAGTAGCAGTGYGARTGATTTCAGTAGCAAAAATCAGTGGTAAACTTGCGTCGGTGTTTCTAAAGGGAAAATGGGAAAATATTGCTGTTCTTGTCCAACACGTTCTCAATTTTTGATAGCATTTTCTGGACAGAGTCCATAGTTTTCATGTCCTTTTGGCACATGTCTTTTTTTGCCATGGCCCTTCTTTACGTCGACATCACTGTCTGCTTACGAGTAGTCATTTGCTATCTTTGTTTTAACAGGATCTGACTTGCGTTGACTTGGAGTTAGGCGCCTAGTATACTTCATCTCCTTCTTTGTCCAGAATTGGTTTTGATTCTGCTATCTACGGGTTGTGTGAAGTATGCAATGCTTTTTTTGCATACGGTATATACTGTCGACAGTTGTGGCGTCACCCTCGATGGCTTGCTTGCTTGCTACTTTTTTAGCAGAAAGAAGATGACGTTTATTTGAAACGATTTAGATCAACATTATGAAACATATTTTAAACGTGCTTGCTCCCTAATGCATCTCTGTAATTACTGAATATATCTGAGCTTCAAGAAAATCGTGATCTCTCACAAACTCAATAAAGAAAATACAATTTTAACCAAGTACGAGAGCACAACTACCTTTAACAGATGCATCAAACACTTCTCTTTGTCAGTACGGAATTCACCAGTCATGTCCCAGTATAATTGACCAAGGAAGAAGTAGTACAATGGGCAATCTCTACACAGCTCAATGGCTTCGAGAAACCTGAATGGCACACTGTATTAAAGCGGGATGTTTACAAAATCACTCACAGATTCTATTACCTTAATTCAGCATCATCGAACAAACCCTCTTTTGCGCTTATTCTGCCCTATAAGTCATAAAACAAACATTTGAGACATAAGGAGGCATAATAACGAGGACGGGTAGTCTTCGAGTTACGGGTCTCGAATAGGCAAAAGGTTGTCGTTGACAGAGTTTCACGATACGCGACTACCCCGAACTGGTTTCTTGGTAAAAATCAATGACGTGGCAAATTAGAGGTTTGAACGCCTTTGTGATTGGAAGAACTGACAAATAATGTATGACAAAATTAACAAATTACGGGAATTTAATTATGCATGCATGTGATGTCGATTTTTGCATCTCACATTGTTTTCCATCATGGAGGGGAATACAACATTCAATGTTTGTCTTCGAGTTCTTAAAAAAGAGAATAAAACCGAAACAAATTGGCACTACACTAGAAATTGTTGTTGTGTCTAATTTGCCAGTTCATTGATTTTTACCTAGAAACCTGTTCAGGTGAGTCGCGTGCTACGAAGTCCGGTCGACGACAACCTTTTGTCAATCGACTATATTAACGATAGCCGTCACGATGTTTTTAATATTGTAATGCAAATTAGCCATGTGGTTCTCCAGGTTCTTCAAATAGCTTAGTATCTTCAAGTTAAGTAATCAGCAAAAATAAAGTAAATAAAGAGAAGTGTCAATCTCGTTAATAACGTCGGCGACGTCAGAAATCCGGATAAACTATTTTTAGACAGCCAACGCGCGCCAAATATAAGACGTCACCTAATTGGTTAAAACCTTCATCAAGCAGTCAATAATGATTTGAAGTAAAACCGAAATATAGCGACCAGTCATTAATTTTATTTTTTCGGCGGAATATATCTGCTTCAAAATGAATTCATTCGGATTGACTTCATCTTATTTTAGGTCCCTTGGAATCCACTAATAAGTATTTATCGGTTAGAATGTATCTTAGAACATGACAATCCTCGATGTGAAAACTCGCTGATTTCTATCATTGAAACGAGATAAATATGGGTGTGGTCTAACGCGTATTTGGAAGTCTGTCCGATCCCTATAACCACTAACCTTAAAAAACAAACAAATAGCAAACAACACCAACAAAAACAACTACAATAACGAACAGTACCTGTAATGCTAATGCACCATGGTAAGTCTTGTCAATGTTTAAAGCTTTGGAACAATACTAAGAAGAGCAAGAAAATGCACAGTCACTTACTGATTGAACTTGATGCTACAAAGCGTTACAAAGTGAAGATTAGAAAAAAGAAAACAGTAGCATTTAGGACTATATGATTGGCTGACGTTTTCATCTTTCATTATCTATACTTAGGCCAATGCACACAAGTAGAAATTGATAGACATAGCATGCGTAGCGGTTCTAGGGGTGGAGGAGGGGGGAACCCTTCTTTCGTGACCCCCTGAACTTCTGTTTTCCCCCTTCCCACCACCCCTAGAGCTGCTACTAAGGCTATGATAGACACTTCTGGAATGACGAATGTGATGAAACCTTTTAGAGGCAGTGTTATCTAATTGTCGTATGGCATATACAATGTCATGCAATGTTTAGGCAAAAAGCCAGTCTACAAGAACGGCGAAGTTAAAGCTCTGTAGGATGTATCTCAGTCTGTTTGCCTGGCAAGTAGCAGTTCGTGCACATTGCATTTACATGATTTTKTGTGTGGAAAGGAATYAGAAACCATAAAGTAACGAGCTTARMTAGTTTACTGAAATGATGGCTCGAGCTGCAGTGAATAAATGTGTAAGGAAATGTGATCGTCGCAGTGAACTAATGAKAATCTATTAAGTGATTATTAATAAATGYATCGCYCCMRAAAAACTTCTAATAAACTAGTTTCAAATTTAGTTTCTAAATTTCTAAGCTACTCTAGTTCGCACGCTAGGACTCGCAAGGAACGCCTGCTACAAGTAGATGGTTACAGCTCACTCAGTCACTTAAGGCGATGAAATAGTGACGAGAGGCCCAATAAGGCYTTTYATCACAAAAAGGTTATGCAGTAGGAAAATATCAGATTCTGTGGTTACCTCACTTGCATCTATCATATCATCTAGTATCAACGAGGATTCTCCTAAACTGGTTAGCACTTCAGGGTCATCACCACCAAAAGAAATAAGCTATATAGACAGACAAGAACTGGGGTTATAATCATATATGGCACCGCATTACAAATTGTAGCTAGTACATACGTCTAGCAASAGTTCCTTGGCTTTCTCTGCTTGTTGTCTGCCTTGCTTGCACAGACACTTGCCAAGGTTGAGTCTAAGAATGCAATAAAAACTGAATGAACTTAACGATATCGAATGATGAATAAACAATGATCAAATGTCAACATTGTCAGGTCAGACAATGAGTCTGCTACTGGTAACATTGTAACCCAGTACAACCTGCCTCATGGACGGGTCGTCGGCGTCTAAACYRGCWCCCYCACCAGTCTAACTGGTGAGGAGGGTGGCATGTACACCCAGCAGGACTAAAAACAAGACCTGTCAAAGGGCGAATGAGCTCATCTGAACCACCGGCCATCATGCATGCTTCTTTATTCCTTGTATGTATTTTTTGTAGTGTCATTTATATTTTAATTTTTATTGTTGTAATTTTTAAGTTTGATGTCTTGGGACGGACTAAGAGCGGCAGCCATGAGGCGCCATCTTAAGCTCGCAGTCTACCATTACCATGACTCTGTCATTGTACTTGTTTGTAATTTGAAAGCGCTTAGAGCAGATTTGTATAAGCGCTATATAAAAATAAAATTATTATTATTATTATTATTAACTGTCTACATCCCCAAAGGGCCCGCCAAGCCCGAGGCCGAACGTACAAAGCTCAGGGAAAACTCGTTCGTGCGCTTTTTCGAAGTTTTSAACCKAAGMCAGCTATGCTGCAAAGTTTATTTTTAGGAGCGATGCAAAGGCAAAGTCTTTCAAGCGTTATCAAATTCCTACAATCCCCGTAGTAGTCGGGAGTACTTGAACTGATTCCATGGTAACTGTCGTCCAATCAGAGGGAACGATGTCCATCAAGGTTGATGAAGGCTTGAGCGGATTCAAAAATTGAGCCAGAACAGCGAACAAACATGACGATTTGTCACGGTTGGATTTGAAGTCCGTTGAAATATTGCCCAATTCTGGATAGAAGRATCCTTGAGACATGCCGCTGAGGGAAGTTYGGAGGCAAAAGATGGTTTTAAGATAATTTATTCGGCCTTCACAGACGAGTGGTGTGGACGCTCTGTAACCAGCCTTGTAGTCTTTTATGACTGATGGCGAGTGGATATTTTTTTACAAAAATAGCTCTAAATCACTTCAAAATCACACACAGCAATGTTAAATAACATCAGCAACACAWGAGATTAAGGTATTTCTTTACAATAACTCTTCGATTGGTAACGCCATCTCCAAGTTAAACATGGTCAACAAATCACCTCAATATATAAGCAAGCAAGGAAGTTTAAATTCTGAAATGGTCATCAAATTACCTCAATTTATAACTGATGACACTTCTCAAATCTTTCGCTTTGATCACATCCAAGCTTCCCAGTCCTGCAATATTTAAAAACAAAATAGATATTAAATGAATAGATGATATCAAATAACAACATTCACAAGTGTCAAATGTAATCTATAGTTAATAATTACTGTAACATCCGCAATTTGCAATAATGTTGACTCCCTATCCCTCTGCCATKTCAAATAATATCGAACTGAACTTCCAAATTATACGATATCATTGCTGATTTACTCTTGGASTTTTCCGTTGCGAGTGATTTCGAAAAAAATATCTGGCGGGCTTGACGTAAAAACAAACAAACAATTAACGGAATTAACGGAAACGTCTCCTCGCTTTATGGCTCGACGACATAGTTAACAAAAGAATAAAAGACAAGCTTCTGGAGCGAGGGAATAAGAGGGTTAAATTTATTGCAAACAGCTGTATGAAATGATAAAGTATAAAATAAATTATTACCGTGACCAGGTCAGCGGCACACTCTTAAAATACAGCAACTTTATTTTTTTTTTTACATTGCAGTTTAGCGTACACAGAACCCCAGGTTCGATCTTCAACTCGAAAACGTCTGAAAAATGTATCTCTTTTTTTCTTTCAGTTTATATAGTTGTTGTAGTCAAGTTGATTTTYTTTCCTGTAGATATTTGTTTAATTATTATTAWTTAGAAAAGATTACAAATGTAAATTATAGAAAAGCTGTAACGAAACTTAGAATTTCTGCACACAAACTACCCGTAGAGTTGGGAAGATATCATGGAAGAGATTCCATACGAACAACGCTTTTGTCACTTGTGTGACTCAAGAACGGTTGGTAACAAATTTCATTATCTAATGTCATGTAATAATGTTTCTTAGAAAATCTTTTTTGGAGACCCTTTTTAGCATAATAATTCTTTTAAAACTATCATAGGAAATAGCTTATTATCATATAAATACTGAGATTTTCTCACATATATTTCTATATGAAAATCCGTTTCAAAATATTAACTAGCCAATCATAGGAGCGAAACGAATTTCTCACACGTGCGAAAAGCGTTTCGTCCAATCAGGAAAGACTTGTGAAAACGTACCACGGAATTCAATCAACAACTTCAARCTTCTTATGACTAGAGACAAGGCATTTTAGAAAGTGAATTGACAAGTAATATTGTGGGGAGAAAAACAGAAATTCAACAGCTAAAACGGCGAGTGATAAAAAGCTAACTCGATGAATTTCCGCCGAGAGAAAAACTCTTAAGCAAACTGAGAAATCCAATTCCAAGAGACCGAAAGCAAATAGCTGAACGAATACATCTCTGWCATCTCTGCGACTTCATTATAATTGTGAAGCCTAAAGACACTGAAGTTTCTGAACCAGCAGGTCCTTAAGATATATTTTCAAGTTTTAATCGACATCTAAAAGAATTAATGCAAATATTCCCAGTATATTTCCCAAGACCACAGCGAAAACTCACTCAGTTCCAGCACAACTTCGATGTTTGAAACTGAAACCCGCGCTTGTCAAGTCAACCACCGTCGCCAGCAGTAGAACTGTTCAAAGAAGCTGGATTTTATATAGCAAATTTCTCAGTATTAGATATAAGTCCTAGATGTACTTCATCTTCAACAGAAGTATAGAAAACAGAACACTATTATATGGATAAAACGCGTCCATAAAAGTTGATTTGCGACGACGGCGATAGAAAGTAAACAGTTTCATTGATTTTGTTTTGTTGGCTTGTTGCACTGTCCTCTAATGTAGCTTTTCGTTATTTTTATCATAGTCAGTGAATGAAAATTGACTGTAAACTAAGTTATTGATGTGATTTATTTATAATTATCTAATTCAGCATTTGAATTGTATCGTAGTTTGATCGCAAATAACTTAAAGCGAGTTTGTAAGACAAAACCATCATTAAAATGCACTCGGTCCGTACGGCATAACCTCGAGCCAAATWTTTTCCCGTACGGCCCTCCCACTCAGTCAATAAGTACATAATTTTCTATATATATTATCAATGAGATGAATCAATTATCAAAATATCTGCAAAATATTGTTTTGAAATATATGGTATGATATGATCTTGTTATAGTAATATTTCTAAGTTTGTATTTTAAACTGTTAAATTTTGAAAATTCTAATGTACCATTATTGGTGTTATAGCGGTGTCAAATTGAGGATCGCGGGTTCGATTTTCGACTCGAGCAGCTTCTTTTTTCTTTTATATTAAATTCCTTTTAATATATTTAAAATCAATTACGGCGCTAATAAAAATATTTTTACGGCAAAATGGACATGGTAAGAGCAACGACCACAAAAAGCAAGTGATACTCAGCACATTGATGAAATCTGGTCATAAAATAATGTGATTATGTTAATCAAACAATATTACACTTTACTACATTACTCTTTGTCATCAAAAAMCACTCAAAGTGAGCAAATAAAAAAAGAGAGAAACAACAGTCTTTATGCACACATCACCTTTTAATAAACACTTCTCAGCACTGATGTAGTCATGAAAGTGGCAGTGCACATGGCTGAGGTAAAGCCATCCAGTTGGACATTCACTGTATCCCTCTAAACCTATATCATACAGTGAAAATAATTGTTATTAGTTATTGACTATATGAAAAACGAGCAGAAGACTGGGAATGAGCACCTTAAACGGTCCATTGAAACTTTCAGATCTCACTCATTATAATATGTTCTTTCAACGGGTAGTAATGATATATTATGCAACTTATAAACTCATACGTTACGATAGCCACGCCCTTTTTCATATGATCTATTGAATACCCCATACTAAAAAAAGTATCCTAATAGGKTGTCTATATGCAGCAACGCCTATGCAGTCAAAATAAAATTACCAGTCCCCCTCTGTCTTGAATAGAACAAAGTATTATTAAATGTAAAAGGATTCCATGCTGTCCGATTGGACGAGGAAAATTGAAAGGACTATTAAAATTGTTCAATTTTGCAATGAACAACCAACTATTGGTAACTGTGTCAGAACAACCAATCATATCATAGTTAATGAAGGGGAGTACCCCCTAAGAGTTGAAGGTGCCCTGACTATGTAGCCGTAGCCAGTGGCTTAGCTGTGATGCTTTGAATCAGTGAATTAAGCAGAAAAGAGATAATAACAATGTTGCTGAAACATAAATGGTTTGTATTTTATATATTTTCCGTTATTCTCCATTATTACGATGTTCAGGCCCTACGCTGGCATGGTCTTAAAATGAATCAAATTGTTTTCGCGTTCTAGATTTATTTTATTACCCAAAGTTTTCATACGATCATAATTGCACAATTGCATTAAACTGATAAAACACATGTGATATAATATGATGGCCAATATTCACTGCCTGACTGCTGAATATTTCTGTCATTAAACTTCACGAGAGGTTTCATTACGAAAACTTCCAGGGGTATTTTCAGACATTTATTCATGAACCTCCACACGACCACTCATAAGTGAACATTTTAGTGAGACAAAAGCGTGCTATAATTGAACCTTCTACCAAGACTCTGAGTGAAGGCGTTTTGAAATGATTTTATCCCGGGRGGACCTCCTAGTGAAAAAGGGTAGGGCTCCTCGTCGTCCCGTTTTGAAATCAGTGTTTTGTTCCCTTTTAGGGTGATAATGACGACAATTCCAGCCAACTGAGTTTTGTGGTCCCTTTTACGGTATACGAGGACCCTAAGCCGTCATTATAAGATCAACCTCAACTGCTAATCCAAAAAGGCAAACGATTTGTATATGACAATGTCGTTATAAACTGAATACGAGCCGACGGCGTTTGATGCTTGTGCAAAAACACCAATAAAATCGGGAAACCAAAACAAAATAACCTGTTATTGATTGGTCCCTCTTAGGGTCCCTCTTAGAGACAACATGCTGCTGTAAACAAAATGAAATCGTGTAACCTATACATATAAGTTAACAATAACATTTTTATTGAAGAAGGGGGATGTCATAGTATCGATCATAGTACCCCGTATGTAATTTACATATTCCCACGTGCGATCTCTCTCACCGATCGCTACTAAGCATGTAATCATTGATCTAGCKWAGTAAATAAACCGTAATTCGTACCACAAACTTCAACAAGAATTAAAGGATTTTTAGAGAGGTTAGTCTAACTAGACTTCCATTAAAACACACCTTGCTGTAGAAGTAACATAGAATCTTCATAATTATGCTTGACCAACAAATCCCAACCAAGGCCTATTTTCCCAATGTCAGAACAAGGATCGAGACTGCAGAGTGTTTCAAAAACATCAGGAACCTCAGTATTAGCTGTGACAAACATGAATAAAAATGTCAGGTCAATAGGCTAGGGGGGTTCGGGAATTTGGACGAACTAAAGTTCTCATCTATCAATCATTAGTGCTATTAGGTTTAGCACAGAATTACAATTCAAATCGATGCTGCAACAATTGATGTCCCCATTGGGTCACTTCTTTAAACTAAGGCAATTATTAATTCAATTCTTGTGTTCACATTTAAACAGCATACTTACAGCTTATTGTTGGTGTAGAAGCAAGGTATATTTTACCAAGAACATCCAGTGGATAAACAGCACTTGGAAACATGACGCTCATCGCTTTGCATTCATCAATTAGCTGTTGCTTTGATGACGTATCATAATTATGTTCCTGCAATAACAGAAATAAGATGTTATACATTATTTTCTTATTTTATTATCAGGTCAGTGACGGAGATACAGTTTTAAATRAAAATTACGTTTATATGGCTCTAAAACATTGTTCAGTATTTTTCTTTACTCAATTTCTACTAATGATTACATTTCCAATCATTGGAAAATATTACTGGCATAATATATATAAAACATTGGAGCTTAATTATTATACTAGAATCTAGTACACATAATATTGCGCTTTTTTYCCCTTTTTGAAGCAATTCAATGACTACATTACATACTAAAACTACCACAACTTTAACAATTAAGATTTGTCTTAATACTTTTTCTACTTTCTATTTCTAATAGATTTGCCCTCTGGAGATTATAGTGATACAGTATGAATTAATGTSTCCATGAGTATCCTTGAAATGTTTGCCAATGGCAGAGCTCCTATGTCCAGCAATGCGTTGGTGAAGATGTTTCGCCGTGTAGCCAACGTAATTTGTGGCGYACAAATCACACTCAAATAGATAACAATGCACAACGCAGTGTTGGTTTACGATGGCTGGCTTCCACTCTTTGTTACTGAGATTCTGTTCAAGTTTTTGGCTAGTGAACAGGCATATATATAGATATGTAACAAAAGTTTCTCGAAAAATGATATACGATAAGACAATTTTTTTTGTTCATTAACATCCATCTTCTTTGATATAAGACGAGAGAGTTTGCTGGAATGAACTCGCATCATATCATTGTACAGGTGGTTTAGGAGAACAGATATAGCATGAGTAGCACTGAGCTGTCTTATCATTTTTCGAGAAATTTTTGGTATGTCGAGGTCTGAAGTTTTCAATACCTCAAAAGGTTTCTTCAATAGAAGTACAAGCTACAGCTTTGCGAAGCTATATTGGAGAGCCTATGACAAGTTGCAGGATGCTGCCTTGAAAGAATTGGCTTGTCAGTCCACGTTACGATCTATAGCCTTAAACTACATCCAACGAAAGACACCCAATCCACCCAAGGCTCTTATTCAAGCTATCAATCGTCTTAAAAAACGCGACGACATTGTTATAACAAAGCCTGACAAGGGTTCCGGAGTTGTTATAATGGACAAGAATGATTATCTACGTCTTCTTCGCCAAGCTTTAGTTGATGACACAACGAAATTCACGCCTATCGATGACCAGCGTCCTAAAACACGTGGCCGACCTCCTGAACATTTTCATCCTCTTCTGGTCAAAGAAAAAGAGATGAAAGAAACTTTACATCAAATTCTACCGGAGAGTCTGGCCAACACTCTTTCACCAAAGGGATCTCGATTGGCACATTTGTACGGACTTCCAAAGACCCATAAACCTGTCCTTAGCATGCGTCCGATTCTATCTGCGATATCAACGTATAACTATGCTCTTGCTAAATGGCTGGAGGAAAAGCTGAAACCCCTAAGCGTAAACAACGCCAAAAATATGTCTCAGATTTAACATCGCATATTTCGCTTAAAACTAAACAAAACGATTTAATATTTCTTTTGATTAATACTAAATGCTTTAAGTTAAAAGAAATTAAAAAAATATTACTTTGTTTAATTTCAAGATCAATATTATTGACGTGCTTTGAAACCCGTGAACTAAATGCGAAAATTTAGCCTAACTTCAGTGAGCTGGATCATAATCTGGTATATACGTCGACGTGGACCGGAAGTCGATTTCATTCAAACTTTCGTAAATTTCGTCAAAATGAAAAATCGCTGGACACTTTAAACTGGATTTTTTGAAAGAGCTCATTAAAGGGTATCTTTGAAMAAAGTATGAGGAATTTGAAAATTTCGCCGTTGTTCAGCCATTCTCGGTCCTTAGTGACTGTTTAAAAACCTAGGGTACCCTGTTGAAATGATAAACACTACCATCAACATGTTTACGAACGATACTACTACAACAACAGACTCTAGCAAGACGACTTCAGATGACAGTACTCTACGCACTAAGATTCCGTTTAAAGATCAGAAATCAGCTGACGTTGTTAGGAGACAACTGAAAGATCTCAGCTCAAAAATTGGCATTCAACTACAGCCCATCTTCACCAACGCATTGCTGGACATAGGGGCTCTGCCATTGGAAAACATTTCAAGGATACTCATGGAGACATTAACTTATTAAAAGAAAATCAATTTACAGTACGAATTACTTGGAAAATTAAACGAGACTTACCTGTAAGTGACGGACAGAATTAGGAAATCACGAGATAGCACAGCGCATTCCATTCTTTAAAGATATGGGTGTGAGAAGGGAATAACCGTAATGCAACCCAACAATTTGACAAATACATTTCAGCTCTATTGGGAGGGATATTTGTTTGGGTGGGCATGTGATCTCCTACCCTGTCCGTCATGTGATAGAATCTCAATCAAACTTCAACTTACAGGTAAGTCTTGTTTAATTTTCCAATTTTATCACGTGACTACCAGAGTGTGAGATCCCATGATACTTTAAAGCCTTTGAAACACCCACCAGAGACTGGACAGGAAGAACTGTTTCAGTCACTTCTATTTTTTATTGGAATATATCAGTATTTTAAAATCCAACCTTGGAATTTTGTGAGGATGTTTTATCCCATGACTAAAAACTACTATGAACTGTAACATAATCTTAAACGATAGAAGATTTTCTTGTCTAACGGGTTGGCAGAGGCCGTAAAGGTACTTGAAGTGCTCCAGCCAACATGGGATAAGATAATATAAAGAAGAACATCTTTTTGTTTTGCTTTGGAGACACTTGCTGCTTGTGCTGTGACTAGTAAACATTGTAGTGTCAATACCAGAGTTCTGCAATACTGTCTTTGTCCAGCAGGAGATTGCATCTCTTGACACAGACTTATGAGGCTTCTTGATTGCCTTTAATAGTCTCAGTGCATTTGATGTAACCTCGTAGGGTGTGAACAGGACATAGACCACGATCTTGCTCAAATTCTGACATTCATATTTTTTTTAGGTTGTCTTGGTTTGCTTGTCTTTGTATGACTAGTCAATTGAAATGAACAGGAAGTTTCACCTAGTTGCATAGTTGTAACATTTAACAGGTGTATCGATTGTCCTCTTTTCACTGTTGCAAGTAGGAGTAGCATAAGCAATTTCAGCGTCAAGTCCTTCAAAGAGAATTTTTCAACTGGGTTCAAAGTGGTCTGGTAGTCAAGGACTAATGAAGCATCCCATATCCTGTTATACCTAGGTTGAGGTATACTTTTTTCAAAAAAACCCTTTCATAAACCGTACTGTAAGTGGGTGTGATCCAAAGTCTTGACAGTTCCCAATTTACAGTATTGATGACAGAACTGATTGCGCAGTGTTCAATGTTGAGTAGCTAAGGCCCTTTGAATATAGTTCCGCCAAAAAATCTGAGTGCTTCATTAATTTGTGGGGAATAATAATTACTTTGTTTTTCACAACAAAAGTCAATCTATTTCTGGATATAGATTTTATATTGCTTTCAATTTCGCTTCGCCAGGAAGACATGATGAGGGGTTCATGTGCTGAATCAATTTCTTGTCTGGGCCCACAGTCCAAGGGAGTTTGTACAGTTGCTGAAGTAATTGAGGGAACCATGCCTGCCCTGTCCACAGTGCTACAATTAAAATTCCTTCTGCCTTAGTTGTCTTTTCGTATTTTCTGGATGCAACGTGGGATTAAACCATAAGGTGGAAAAGCATAAAACTCAGGTGACTTAGACGCATTTGCAGTACACTGTCAACCACGTTGACAGATTATATAGCGTATCTTTCGTCTACCACATAAACCTACGCAAATTTATCCAAAATCAAGTCAAGTCTTGTCGATGCAAGCTATGTATGAAATGCGCTGTGCTATCTCATGGGATCTCCCACTCTGGTAGTCATGTGAATTATTATATTACAATAGAAAGTGTGACTAACTGTAACTATAAAAGATACATGCCATTATTTCATAAAGGACTTTGATGTAACTTGTATAGTGAGCCAGCATTTTATCTTGGCCAGTGAATGTCCATTCAGTATGCACCAGGGTTTTATAGACATTTGAAAGCTACAAATAAAAATAATCATCATTACTACTTATAGTAAAATACCCAAACTAAAAATACTTGTCAAAATGTTATGATACCTTCATTAAAACCTTTAAATCTCCTGATTCCTGTGTTGACAAAAAAAAAATACTAGGAAACGAAATAATGCACTTTTGAAGTCATAACATTCCAACTCAACAACAAAATGATGTTTGTAAAGAATTCTGTTGATAACTCCTGAAATGATGGTTTGAACAAACAATTTACTGTTATTTGTGCATGTATGAGCATTCACAAGTTTACCTTCTCTTGAAGGATAGCTTCCATCTTTAAATACACTTCATAGTTTTCTTGAGAATTACCACAGTTTTTAACAGTTTCCTCCAGAGTTTTCACAGCCTGTACAATTAATACATGTACATCAATTTAAATTTCATTTCAATTCTTAACACAGTTTCTAAAGTACTGCACTTATGGTACACCTCAAAATGCTTTCCTTGCTGACAGAAAAGGTCTGCAAGCTTTAGACTGAATTCCTTGACCTTATCCTTGTCATTCCTGAAATACAAAATACAAGTTGTATATTGTCTACTAAACTAAGCAATAATATTTGGAATATTTACTCAAAATCAACTTATACTTTCATACTAAGCTGTAGATGGAGTCATGATTACCTTTGATATAAGTCTATCATCTTTCTGTAAACCTCTGGTAAGTTTGCTTGAAAGTCTTCATTATCAGCCTCTCTTTCATATAATGATGCAAGTCCCTAATGAGAGATACATGCAAGTTTATATTACAGTTGCACATTAGAGATAACCCCATTTCAGATACTAATTGTCAAATATGTATATTGATTTATATTGATTACATTAATTTCGAGATAAATTTTGCATACCAGAGCAAATTGCATGTTACGTGTTTCTGTTGTCTTCGACTTCGTAATAAAATTATTTGACGTGATTAGATGATGATGACATTAAATATTGACTCAATTCCCATTAAAACTCTTCTAAAATCTTATGGTAGAAGTCTTCGACTTCGTAATAAAATTATTTGACGTGATTAGATGATGATGACATTAAATATTGACTCAATTCCCATTAAAACTCTTCTAAAATCTTATGGTAGAATTCTGAGTTTTTAGAAGATGCCTGCATGAATCAATCTACTTTTACGAAAAAATTATCTACAATATCGGAATAGTTTCCCGGTCCTGTGTTGTTCTTTAAAAAAGAACTTTAAAAAGAAAATTTTTTTTCTTCGTAGCCGCACTTTTACCATTTACAATGMKTTCTTCGCGACAAATACAGGATATTAATTGGGAGCTCTCTTCAGAACTTATTTAAGGCTAAAAAACAGTGTTTTTCGAAATAAACAATTTATTTTTGGCGAGAAATTTTATTTTATTTTCTTCGAGTTCTTCTTCGAGCTCTTCTGCTCAGAGAAACCGTACGACTGGAACTCCCGCGACAGGAACTTCTACAGCCACAACTTCTACGGCGACTATCACGACTCGTGCGTCTGTCCCAAATACGTCTTCTGCGCCCGAAACTACTGGTTCTAACTTGCAGGTATACATAACTTTACAAGTTTATAAACTCTATAGGTCGGTTTTATTAGTCAAGTCCAGCGAGCGTTGGACTATTTTGGCCCTAAGTATGGGCGGGCTTTGGGAAGGACTCACGCTAGAATTGTTACAGTTGTAGATATTCGCCAATTTTATTAGCCTCAGCCGGTTCTGCTGCGTTATTCCTTGTACTTTTTGCCYGACAAATTTGTATGTGTTTTAGAACGTTTCCGTTCTTACGTCCTTTGTGGGTGTCCAATTCGCCTTGCATACAACACAGTCGACTCATATATTGGCAAACTAAGGGCAATCTTTCACGCGGCAGGAAGACAGGGGGAGTGGCAGACCACCCTCTCTTTGGGAAACCCAGCATCAGCGCTGAAGATACATGTAAAGGAATACCTTAAGGCAGTGACGGCCGAACAGCTCAAAGCAAGGAAAACTCCCAAGCAAGCAGTTCCTTTATTCCTTCCAAAGCTTCATGCCCTAGCGCGTCATGTCAAATCGAAGGTAATGTGTTCTGAAAATAAGGGAATAGATCTCTACGTTCTGGATCGTGATCAGGCGGTGTTGAAGACCCTATTTTTTAGTGGAGATCGTGGGTCCGATCTTRGATCGGTGAAGACATCGGAAATACTCCGTTTCCCGAATGATGATGGCATGCTCTTTAATCATGTATGTGGGAAATCCCTCAGAAATGGATCTTCGAACATGCTTGGCATTAGAAGGCACCCAAACCCGCTTGTTTGCCCCGTAGCAGCTATAGAGACGTACGTCGAAGTCTGCCGACAATTGGAGATTGACATTTTTCAAGGATACCTCTTTAAACCAACATCCCCACAAGGTAACATAATCGACAAACCGTTAGTCGGCAACACGATGCAACAACGGCTAAAGCTTTACCTCAGGGAGATGAACGCCGATGAAGGTGTGCTATTACATTGGTACTCTCTGGGGCACAATTGGCTGATATCATGGGCCATGTGGGATGGAGGAATGACCAGACGGCTCTGTACTATATGAAGCTGGCAGAGGTTCTCAGACAGGCATGACCTTCATCTCTCCTGTCGTCGCAAAATGATGGTGCCAGCGAAGCCGTAGAGATGTATCAAGACTTGAACTCACTAAAAAACTTTGTATCTGCCTTTCCTCCCTCGTCCGCCAAACGTCGGTTACCGTTAGATTAGTAGGGGTAGACTGGGACTTAAGACGTGTTTCGATTCTAGGGACTGAGTATGGGTTGCGCGTTGAGTATGGGCGTATGAGTATGGGTGTGGTGTAGCCATAGTTACTATGGTGTAGCGATGTCTCTACCTTATCAAGGAGAAAGCAATACCTCCATTTCTCACGTATAGGGGGGAGATCAATGGCAATAGTTTACTATTTGGTATTTGGTTAGTTGAAGTTAATGTTTGCATAAATTGCACTCCCGAGACATCGTTGCTTGGTGTTGAGGCGAAGTTGTATTCCCTTAGGGCTTGTTATTATTGCTTTTTTGACAACTGAACAAAATCTTTAGTCAATAAATTCAGCGTACAAAATTCTCGTAAACATACATAACATTTTTKAGCTAAGCTAAATATAATAAATATGTTCAAGGACTAAGATCGAAACGTATGATTGAAATCGCAATTACATGTAACAAGTATCTAAGGCAGAGACGAAAAACTCAATCTTCATAAAAAATTAAATTAATAAATAAATTATTATTATTATTACCATGAATCCTGACTGCAATTTTCAAAACAGGATTAATTGTTTTACATTTAACACCATGACATTGGCTTACCTGCCAAGCTAACAACTGACTGTCATCAGTTTCTATAGCTCTCTTATAAGCTGCCTGGGCTTGGTCAGGTTGATTCATCTCTTTTGCACAAACTCCAATAAATACCAAGGCATTATAGTTGGCTTTGTCTAGCTTAAGTACACCCTGCAGTTGATATGAAGCTAATTAATTAAATAGTTAGCAAAATACCGAAAGATGACTCATAATCCAAGCAACCATCTGACTATGCATGAAAACATGATAAACAGCATCAAAATTACTGATAGCCAACCAATGACTATTTTTATTGAGAGATTRAAACTGAGACGTACATTGACAAGTGTTTTTGGTTATGCAATTCAACAGTTGGAATCCAGCAGGTATCTTACAGTTATAAAGCTAGGGTGTTATTATAATGGAGATACATTGTGTCCAATACACAGAAAGATACTGCAGGAAACCACTTTCTGGACTTCATACACAGCCAGCAAGAAGATACAAACTCACTCAGAT